TTGGCCACCAAGTGCATCATCAAAATCGTGGAGTTTGCCAAGCGCCTGCCGGGCTTCACGGGGCTCAGCATGGCTGACCAGATCACCCTGCTCAAGGCGGCCTGCCTGGACATCCTGGTGAGGACTGGGGGTCCCTGGGGAGCTGGGGGGGCTCCTCGGGGGAGTGGGGGTCCCTGGGGAGCTGGGGGGGCTCCTCGGCGGAGTGGGGGTCCCTGGGGAGCTGGGGGGGTCCCTGGGGAGCTGGGGGGGGCTCCTCAGAGGGGTTTGGGGTGGCCCACGGTGGTCCTGACCTCACCACCGCCCAGACAGATGTCCTGGAGAGGGGCTGGGAGGTCTCCTGAGTGGGTTTGGGGCTCCCTTAGTGGAAAACTTTGGGGTCCCTTAGGGGCTTTTGGGGTGTCCCTGACCCCGATCTCCCCCAGTGCTGCGTTTGTCCTGTGGTAGAGCACAGGACTGGCAATGCTCTGGGATGGGCAGATCTGGGGTGGGTTTTGGGGTGCCCCTGGATGGTTTTGGGGTGCCCCTGGATGGTTTTGGGGTCCCTGCCCTGCACATCCTGTGGGTCTGCACCTGCTGCATGCTGGAGCAGGACACAGTGATGGGATGGGCTGACCTGGGTGGATCTTCAGGGTCCCCAAATGGATTTTTGGGTCCCTGTGTGGATTTTTGGTTTCCCTGTGTCGATTTTTGGTGTCTCTGGATGGATTTTTGATGTTCATGGATGGATTTTGGCATCCCTGGATGTTTCTGGTGCCCCTGGGTGATTTTGGTGTCCCTGGGTGGATTTTGGGTGTCCCTGGATGTATTCTGGTCCTCTGGATGATTTGGGGGTCTCTGGATGGATTTTGGTGTCCCTGGGTGGATTTTTGGTGGCCCTGGATGTATTCTGGTGTCCCTGGGTGATTTTGGTGTCCCTGGATGTATTCTGGTGTCCCAGGGTGATTTTGGGTGTCCCTGGATATATCCTGGTCCCCTGGATGATTTTGGGGTCCCCGGATGGATTTTGGGTGTCCCTGGATGTGTTCTGGTGCCCCTGGATGGATTTTGGATGTCCCTGGGTGGATTTTTGATGTCCCTGGATGGATTTTGGGTGTCCTTGGGTGGATTTTTGGTGTCCTTGGGTGATTTTGGTGTCCCTGGGTGGATTTTGGGTGTCCCTGGATGTGTTCTGCTGCCCCTGGGTGGATTTTTGGTGTCCCTGGATGTGTTCTGCTGCCCCTGGGTGGATTTTTGATGTCCCTGGATG